CAAACTCCACACAGTAGTCACTCTAGTCCAGAATTGAACCCAGGACCCAAGACATGAGAGAAAGCAGGACTGGCCACTGCTCTGTCTGCTATCTTGGCCTTCACAGATGATTTCTGTACTCGGTCCTGTAGGCGCGGTTTACTCTGGTTTGCATATTATCTTGGTGAAATGTGCAGGAGTGACCTTTCAACGGTACACAGCTAAAGAGAGAACATGTACTTCGTGCAAAAATCTAGAATTAAAATCGATTGAAGATTAAATGAGGAGTCACGTTAAATGTATGTTAAGAGCATCAACACTTTTCTCAGAGGCTTTCTTGACTATTTTCTACTATTCTAACAACTTTCAATGTTATTAATAACCTGATAGGGGTGAAAATCAACCAGGCTTGACATTTAACAATAATTAATTCACAACGATCAGAGTTTTCAGAAACCTGATCGCAATAACTTGAACTGCTGTACTAACTAATCCATCACACTTATCAATCACATCTGATTGACCCGGCTGTCAGATGTTCCTTGTCATTAACACTGTACCCATTTATACAACCAAGAGGCTAAAATAGCCGTATTTTCGAATAAAAAGGGATTTGTAGAATAGCTCATTCCAAAGTCACATGGAGAGACGTTTCTCTGGAAATTCAGAAGTGTTTCACTGTGATACGATACCCCAGTTCTGCAGCCGTCTGCCCGACAGTTGGGTCCATTTGGGTTTGGGGGCTTTGTATACCTAAGGAGCAGAAAGATAAGAGTGGGCATCACATTTTCAGATACCCTGGACTACCACAGAGCAATACCAGTGTAGATAACAGCTCCTTTCCAATCCAGAGAGAACAAAACTATTTCCAAATTTGGTTGCAAGCAAATATGTGTTCTGCTACACTATATCACAGCAGGGAATAGAAAGCTCAACATCACATACTTCTTTTTAGCTTAAAGATGTCATTTCAACTTGACAAGTTATCCTGAGAGTTGCAGCTCATTAGAGAGCTTTTATTTTCATTAGAGGCTCGCAGAGTGAGTGGTGAGAAATATCCGAGTTGCTCTCAGTTGATATTTTCCATCTTTAAACGGTTCCCCCTTTTTTTTTTCTTTGTATGAAGTCTAGTACTGGGAGCATTAAAAATCTTTATTTTTAGTTTTTGCAACAGGATAATCCAAGCTTTTACATTCTGCCCTGTTTATTCTCTTATCAAGTCATTGTTGTAGAGCTGTACAAGCTGTCTGGGCTCTTTCGAAAGGTGACTGACTGCGCTCAGTGCATCATTTCAGTCAACCAGCGCCCTGGCATCTGACCTGCTGCAAGAGGTAGGCCTCCTCCGTTTCCGTTATAAACCCAGGGACATAGTAAACAGTCGGAGGGGCCTGAGATCAAAGAAAAAAGGACAATAAGTGTTACAGATAAACATGCTGAGGTTTTCGTCTACAAGCCTCCGCTGACAGTAACAAATCAAAGTGCCTGAGATTTGTTGCATAACAAAGTTAAAACCTGTAAGATGACCAGTAATTGTTATTACTGATTAGAAATGATTCAAGTAATTCTGCTAAAAGCCTGATGTGGTAGTACTGGCGCTTCATGGGCCTGGGAGAAGTGGCCCCTAGACACCACAGGTGAAGAAACGAGCATTTCATGAC